CCAGAGGCAGCAGGTGTCGGGGTAGAGGCGGTGCGGCACTCGGAATCGCGTGCGGGTTTCCAAGCCTTTTGGATCCCATGTGGATTCCTCCTCCTCATCTCCTCCCTCTATTTCTCCTTCTCTCCTCCTCGTCCTCCTCTCCCTCCTCTTCCTTCTACCTCTTTCTCCAGGAAGCCCTCCCCATCTTCCCAGTCAGAAAGCAGTCACCTCCCAGTCTGGTGGGGTTCCCCTGGGCCTGATTTGATCTGTCTTCCTCTGGTACTACACGGGAACTGGGATTTTAAGGAACTGGTAGAGAAATCAGGAATGCTTGGTATAAACCTCAGCTATGCAGTGTGACTTTGGGCCTCGGTATCCAAAGCTGTAAAACCCAAGGCCTGACTGCCTTTGTCTCTGACTCTCTCCGAGGGAGGCAGCAGCTACCTTGAAAGTTCTCAAAATTCTGCAAGGGACAGGTTCACCGGGAAGTCAGAGCATCTCTAACCCTCACTAGGAATTCCCCTTAGTCTGATAATCCACATGACTTGAGACAACTCTAGAATGTTCTTTCTTTTGTTTTTCTCTACAGGTGGACAGATCCTCGGTCTGCATGGATCAGTAGAGGATGAAGGCCAACCCAGCAGGCTCCTCCTCAGAGGCCTGCAGAGCTGCAGGCCAGGGCGAGAAGAGCTGCCCTGTCTGCCAGGCTTGGGGAGGAGTCTCAGGCCTGGGGTCTGAGTCAGGGATTGGCCCCGGGCTGGGTGCAATTTCAGGACATGGACCAGGGCCTACTACAGTTCTGGGGCCGGGGCTGGGGCTTGGTGCTGTGTCCAGACCTGGGCCAGGGCCCGGTGTGGTTCTAGAACCTGGACCAGGGCCTGGTGCTGGGTCCAGACCTAGGCCGGGGCCCGGTGTGTTTCTAGAACCTGGACCAGGGCCTGTTGCTGCTTCAGGACCTGGACCAGGGCCTGGTGCTGTGTCTGGACATAGGCCAGGGCCTGGTGCTGCTTCAGGACCTGGACCAGGGCCTGGTGCTGTGTCTGGACATAGGCCAGGGTCTGGTGCTGCTTCAGGACCTGGGCCGGGTCTGGGGCCTGGGCCAGGAGCTGGGTCAGTCCCTGGGCCGGTACCTAGGCCAGGAGCTGCAGCATTACCTGGGCCAGGGCTAGAGCCTAGGCCCAGACGGGGGTCTGGAACTGGGCCCAAACTCAGCGAGCCAGAGACAGCTTCCACATCAGCACCACGGCAGAAGACTCAGGCCACACACAGGCAGGCCCCTCGGCAGAAGGTTCTGGTGACTGGAGGAGGAGGCTATCTGGGCTTTAGCCTGGGTTCCAGCCTGGCCAAGAGTGGCAGCTCTGTCCTACTGCTCGACCTCCGCAGACCGCAGTGGGAGCTGTCCCCAGGGACCGAGTTCATCCAGGTGCAGTGATGAGCGTTTTGGGGGGCGCTGGTGGTGAAGGTGTGGGGACCAGCCCAGGCTGGCGGTGGAGGCATGGGGACAGCGTCTGATGTGAAACCAGTGAAGAGCACAGGCTCTTGGAGTGGGACTATTTAAGCTTTGACCCCTTCCCCGCCGGGCAGCCATGGCCACAAGGCTCCACATCTCTGAGCTTCCGTGTCCTCATCCAGGGAAGAAGACTTCTTATGGGGAGTCACAGCGCGCGTAAAAACAGCAAGCACAGCCCCTGCGACTTAGCTTGATAAATGGGGCCGGTGGTGGTGATGAAGCCAAAGAGGCCCTGTAGAATCATATAGTAGCTCTTGCCCCACAGCTTCTCCTACAGGTGCTTGGCCAGGGTGGGGTCAGAGGCCCAGCTCTGGGACCTGGCAAGGTGCACTGTTGGTATCTCTGCCTCGGACCCGAACCTTCTGTCCCCATCTGCCTTCTCTGTTTCAGGCGGATGTCCGCGATGAAGAAGCCCTGTATCGTGCCTTCGAAGGGGTGGACTGTGTCTTCCACGTGGCGTCCTATGGAATGTCCAGTGCTGAGAAGGTGAGCCCCCCACATACAACACCTGGAGTTAGAGCAGGTTCAGGTCCTGGTTCTGCCCACACACCCTCCTTTGTGCCGTGTATTCATTATCGCCCTTCACCTAATCCAGGAAGGATTTACATGATACCCGGTCTGCATTTTGCATCCATGGGACCAAATGCCAGTTCTGCTGCTTTCTAGCTTTGGGACCTAGAGCGAGTTAACTTAACCTCTCTGAGCCTCTGTTTCCTCGTTTGTGCTAGTATTCACGTCAGGACCTCCTCAGTGTGTGGGTACCTGTCAAAACATACGGATACCCTTGGGCTCCGAAATCACACTGTGCCTGTATTTGCAGCATTGTTCATAATAACAAAACACAGGAAGTAACGTCAGTTACTATGCCCATCAGTTAAGGACTACTTAAATTGTAAGGTATCCATTGAAATTCTACACAGCCATTCAAAAGAATGAAGTAAGTCAGTATGTGCTGATAATAGAATAATTTCCATGGTGCAAAAACAGTGTTTGATATCCTCCTGTTTGTAAAAAAAAAAAAGAAGCAGCAGCAGCAGCTAGGATAAATATTTATGTGCTCACACATGCGTATGTGCTGATATCAATAAGTATAGATTATGGGGGCGCCTGGGTGGCTCAGTCATTAAGCGTCTGCCTTCGGCTCAGGTCATGATCCCAAGATCCTGGGATC